GGCTCTTTATTAAATGGTGATAACGAACAGCTTTTTTTATTACCTCACCTTAAAGGTGATGATTAACCTGATGTTCATGTAAGACGCTAGCACTCACAAATTTCCCCGTGTTTACACATTAAAGAAATATGGAAAGTTACTTACAAATGTAAATTATCTCGCTTCTCTTTGAAGTAGAATTATTTAGACGATTTAATTCAGGTTCAAATATTTCACAATCAATCCAAAGCAAAAAGCTTTTTGGTTTTTGAAGACCAAAAATTTAACACTTATATTCTTAAAATCATGATATTTTTATATTAACTTTGTGTGTTTGTCCACCATAATTTTTATGGTGAGTAATGGCACCATTTCCAGTGCCTGATTTTCCAAATTTTTTTGAAATGTGAGTGATTTAACTTGATTTTTGTGTGCAATTTTCGAAAAGGAAAATATCGACATCTTATGCGAATCGTGAAAATTGAATTCTAGTTTATGCAAACATTTTTTGGAATTGTTTCATTTTTGAAGCCTGTTTTTTAAAGTTAGATCTTAAATAAATGTTCCAGACAAACCCGATTCTGATCTTCTAATCTATGCACAAATTTCGCTTTTTTATCTGACACATGTTACTCCACATATCAGTAGAATATAACGAATGGTGTAAAGTCTGGACCTATTGAAACCACATGACTTCCAATAACCTAAAAAACGTAGTATTCTGTACTTTTTTGTCAACCAAAATCTGAAACACTCTCACAAATAGTCGTCAGTAACTGCGCATCAGATATTTTCGAGACAATATTTTTAGTTATCTGACCCGTCACCATAGTATCTCATTTAATTCAATTTTCTATAGAATTACTTGCTGGCTGAAAATTGCAGGTCCTTTCAGGCCTGAAAGTAGTCTGTACATGAAACTGTGGTGCCCTAAAAGATGGCATTTTTAACATATTTTTAAGATTCCTAAGAGTTTTCGAATAATGAATTTAAACTTTAAGGTTCCCGTAGATACAGACAATGCTCTTGTCCAAGCGAGTGTACGAAGGATAGTAAAGTAATATTCGGGTTACTGGAGTATCGAATCTCAGAGACCAAAGTTACGTATATTCAATATGATTGAGTCTTGTTAAATGCAAAATATTGCCCAAAGAAGTAACCCTGCAAAAGAATCTCTGATTCGCATTGAATGTGAGTGAATATTTTAAATTTGAAAGGTGTGGGCTGTGGTCAAATGTACTGATTTTAGTGAACAATATTAAAGTACATTATTCGGTGTGGCTTTTTGTTTTATCAACTAAAATATGGTGGAGCGTTAGCAACATCTTTTGGAAAAGACGTTGACCAAACATGCCTATATAAATTTTTCAATTGAATGTTCCAAATTAAAGCAAATTTGCATTTTTGGCACAAAACAGTGTAATTAATATAAAGTGTTTTAACATTTGTCAGTCGAACCAGGACTAATTGTGTAGAAACAGACCACCATAAACTAATGCAAATACAAGTCTAATCACTATCATTACCAATTTTGCAAGGGCGCAATAGTGATGCATTGAACGAAGTCAATTACCGAGTGAAAGCAGCATGAAAACTTGTGGCTAAAACTATACACCCAATTTAACCTTACTTAACACGTCTTGAGTCGAGCACCAATGTGATCAATGCCTCATGACAACCGGTTGAGGCATAGGTCCTTTCTTTCTTTCCATAATTTCCTAACACCGTAATTTTGTCAAAGAAAATACATGTTAATCAACTTGGTATTTTTGCACTTGTTTTCGACTTCCTTCCACTGTTACACCAATTTATCGGTTTCAATTCGTTATCAATTGCCTGATCGAACGTGGAGGTTGCTGTCAAGCCAGTTTTTGGTCTTTGTCTTCATGATTACAAATGCACAAGGGAGAAAATTTGACGGAAGAGCGTCCAAACCGAATGGAAGATGTGTCGAAACAGCTTAGTGGAGTTTTAGGATGGCCAGCATAGTGATTTGTGCAGTGTGTGGATTGACATTTTAATGCTTTAGAGTAAATAGACCTTGACGACCAAGTCGATTTCCTCAAGTGGCTTCGCTTAATGATCTGATGCCGCGCAAGCATTTCTTGGCGGACGAGGTCCCCATCATCTCACCACACATAGGTCCTCGTTCCTCTTCTTGGCTTGCAACTTGTCTTGTTCGGTTTCGCCTACCCACTCCGTCTGTGACGATGCTCCCGTTTTTAAACCTTGTCCCCTGTCCCCAAGTGGTTATAATTAAATTGATATGCTCATTCCCTAGCACTTATCCATCAATCTTCTTCCGACAACGCATCTACTCTGCTCTCATTCAAATCAGTAGTTCGTATTATTAAGTAGCATTTGCGTGTCGGTGCAACAATGACCTGATTTCCACTCTTATTTCTAATTCTGCTTCAGTAAGTAGTTTACTGTTTGTTGCTAAAGTGACGCACAGCAAAGATGAGGCTTCACGACATCTGAGTGGAGAAGAAGTCTCACCACAAGTGCGGTGAGCCGTGGACAGAATAGGCCTGCACGGATGTGCAGGAGAAGGGGCTGCCAGTCTGTCTGATTAGTACAAAAGGACTAATGAATTCTTCAGTTATTGTCATCTGATCGGAAGACCCCCCGGTAACGTCAAGCTTAACTCTACAGTAACGGAATGTTACCACAGAAAATGTCAGTAGTTACTGGGTGATCGCCAGATACTATGATTAGCAGCTCTTGTTAATGATAGAATGTCCACCCTGATATGGCATTTGTTGCTTAGAAAAAAAGAAACCACAGTAGGAACACTAGAATTCCCAAAAGAAGGTAGGGTCTGTGGGGAGCCTTATGTCTAATTGTGGTTGTCTTTTAAGCTGAGATATACCTTATAAAGAAAAAGATGATGATCCAGTACACGGTTTTCGCAACCCCGACTCGCGCATAATGGGTCCACGGATCTTTAGATTGTTTCTTGAAATCGACTTTTGATGCTCCTGCACACACAATCGAGATGCAGAGACGTTGAGCACAATCATTGGACACGAAGCGGAAGTTTTTTTCAATGCGTTATGACGGAAAGTGGCCACCCAATAAGGCTGACTTCGATCACACAGTCGTCAATCATCAGGATCATTTCATAGATACAAATAAAAGCGTACACATCTTGCGAGTAGAGATCTTTTTAGACAACAAGTAAGCTGCAGATTTACCCAACCATCGGACTCTCTTAATTACAGATTTTGTAATAGTGATTTGATTTGCACTAAACGAAATTTATGACCCTTAAAAAGCTTTCCATGAGCAAAAAAATTCATTTACAAAACAATCAGAGGTGTAGATACAGATGTGTCGTGGTAATAATCCGCAAAGGTATAGTAAAGGGTGCAGAGACGACTGTGAGTTCACGCCAAAAGGAACTATCGGAAGACAATTATCGGTTCCTCCCTAACAACACAGTTTTTATCCTTCGCGTTAATAAAGGGTCGGGTCCAAAATTCTTGCCTGTTAACGCAGTTATTTTGCCTTGAGGTGGGTTCAAATGCCAGGTCGGGGCTTCTAAAATTGCAATTAACGCAGTGTTTTATGGTGGAGGTGAATTTGCGCAACTCTGCGTCTGCGAAATACTTAACTGGCGATGCGTACCTTTTTCTAACAATCAGGGGGTTTAAAAATTCAATGATTACACACAACCGCTGGCCCCTGCGTATTCTGAATCGATTATCTCAATATCTGAGGCAAAACTATTGCCTGGTTTAGATATTTAAGAATTAACGATTAAGCATTTTATTTTTATTCGCTGAGTCAAAAGATAAGTGTTAGCACCCCTATGTTAAGTGATCAGCATTTATCGACAATGAGGTCAGATAATTGTAATTTTGCTTACTGCGCGCTTCTACTTTAGTTTCTGCGAAGACGTTTGTGTGTTAATAACACCTCACTTCCTCCTAGCTGGGTGTTAAGCATTGTTTATACTTTTCTCTTGAAGCTCTTTCCTTTAAACTTTGCTCCTGGGTATAACTTTGCCATTAGTATTTAATTTCCGCATCATCATTTGAGTCAACACAAATCCCTCACGTTCTGTCTTTTACAATATCGATAGACTGAATCAACAGACTATTTTGGCCAATAAACTTCTGATTAGACCTGTGCATTTAATGGCAATGAAAGCAACCTCAAACCGTTTTGACGGTTCGACGAATAAATCAGTTATTCTCAAAACCTCCATCAGTTTTATCCATTTGTGGAGTTATCACAGCTAACTAGATTCGGTTTCAATTTAGAGTCGAACACATTTGAATGCAGATGCCAGTTAGTAGTTGGGCCTCTTGTCTTGCGCGATCTTCTGTTTTTTAACAGTGTTTTCACGCATTCCCGTCAACTTGGGCTCTCATGTGCTCAAGCACGTGCACGCTTAAGAAGAACCCACCAATAATAGATCTCCCTTCGGCAGATATAAACTCCTACTGACAGGTATACAGAAGTTTCTCACAGAATTTATAGACAGGTATGTTGGCTTCGTGGTGTGATTCAGATAACATGTTATTTGTCTTATTGTGATAGAAATTTCCCTATTTATCTCTTTTTCATTGTTCACAAATCTAATATATTTTGTCATTTTATTGAAAAAAAATCACTCTTTTTGATAGAAAAATGCACCAAACGTATAGTTAATTGAAGGGGTTTCTTCCACTAACGGCTGTGGTTTGGGCCAAAAACACTAATGAAGGAGGATCTGATCCAAATCGTCATTTGGAATGCTATTTTGAAGTGTACAGTTATACGAAATGCAGAAGACATTACAAGCATCACAGCCAGTGCAATTTAGAAAAAAAAAACACTAACCTTTTTAAGGGTCTTAATATAGCAGGCGCGGAAGCCGAATTACCTTATTCCTATTTGAAACACTGCTGCCAAAAAAATCAAAGACAACAAACAATGTTATTAATTTGTATGTGCGTTTAACAAAGAGAAGACAAATTGAACCGTGTGACTTGTAGTTTCGCAGAACTGATTGTGTAAACGCAGTAACACCAGCAAAATTTAGAACATTTTTATGTGGGATTCAAGCTGTGCGCTATTCAATTATGTTGGTTATCGTTTCGTTTCATGGT